GAGCCCACTGCGCACCTCAGCGCGGACCCCTCCACGGACCTCACTGCACGCCCCACCAGGGACCCCACTACGCACCCTCACGGACCTCACCGCGGGCCCCACTGCACATCCCTCCACAGACTTCACTATGCCCCCCACCGTGGACCCCACTAAGCACCCCTCCACGGACCTCACTTACGGACCCACCCCGTGGACCCCACTACGCACCCCACCGTGGACCTCTCCACAGACCTCACCGTGGACCCCACTACACATCCTACCGAGGACCTCACCATGCACCCCACCAATGACCCCGCCATGGACCCCACTGCAGACCCCGCTATGCACCGCACCACATACCCCACCAATGACCCCTCCGTGGACCTCACGGGACCCCACCGATGACCCCAATGCAGAGTTCACTGCACACCCCACTGTGGACCTCAGTGCACACCCGAGGACTCCACTGCAAACCCCACCAGGGACCAGAGGCCGTCACTTAGTCGTTTAAAGCCCATGCAAGTGGACATGAAGGGGCAGAGAGGTGTCAGGAGATCAGTTGATGACATCAGTTCACGGACCAGAGAGCGAGAGATCTGGGGAGGGGCGGTGGGCTGGAGGGCCTGCATGCATCACGTGTCTCCTGTGCGTGGGAACCAGGCGCTTTCCCAGCAGAATCCCCACCTGGCTGAGGGCATGGATGATAGTGTTGGCCAGGCCTTGGGACAGAGTGCATGAGTGGACAGCTCAGGTGCTGACTGGGTAGGGGCTGGTGGAGGGTCTCTGTCATATCGAGGGCCGTTGTGGGCCCTGTGGTCAGGGTGGCAACCGGAAGCTCCTAGGTTCGATAGCACTGGGTCATGATAAAGTCCAGGACAGGGAGTGAAACACACCCGCTGCAGTGAACCTAAGAAGCCAGGAAAATTAAGTATTGGGATTGAGAGGTAGGGAAGGAAGGAGACCCTAAGGCAGGAGCCAAAACCTTCAGTGAATCTGGGGATGTCTAATAGCAAAAAACAGGCTTAACGAGTAATATAATCAAATAGCAGGAGATCTTTCAAAACAAGATTTGTACTCAAAGGAGAAGCAAAAGAACGGTGATGGCACCCATTTCTGGAAGCATGAGGGCCGCAGGGGAAGTGGTGGCTGGGAGAAGGTAGAGATTGAAGAAAGGGCCTGAGAACAGGATGAGGGGTCAGAACAGCAGAGGGGGGGATCCCAAGTTGGAGAAGCCGTGGGTGCTATCAAAGGTAGGCATTCGTGGGTAGTAAGGGGGAGTAGAGAAGGAATTTGGAGTTTGGATCATGGGGTTAAAGTTCTGAGAAGAGGGGGGGACACGCGGGAGATGGAAGAGAAGAGGTTGTCAAAATGTGTCAGGACAATGGTTTGCTCAGGGAAATGATGTTCCAGCTGTGGCAGGACACTAAAGATGCACGGGAGGTGGGCAGGGGCAGACTGGCGAAGCCGGGCTGAGCAAGCGGCACTTAGACTGAGGAGGATTAGGGGAGGACTTGCCTGGCCTAACGGAGCTGCCATAGCCCAGAGCTTCCTTGTCTGTCAAGAATGGCTTAGAGGTGTGCCAAATGGTGAGCATTGGCGTCATCAGTGTGGCCTGGCAAGCCCGTCTCCTTTGGCCACAAGCAGCTTTGTCCATTTAAGAGCACCCTGCAAACATTTTCTGGGGCGTAACATAGAAATGAGGTGGAAGTGTATGGGAAATACCATCAAAGCTGATGCCTGTTTTGCATCAGACCACTTATCTTGGTCTCACCAGCACCAGCCTGGTATCTGACATACAGCAGGTGCTTAATGTTTGATGAGTTGTTACCTCTGTGAGCTATACCAAGTCAGGAGAACTGGGTTCAAGTTTGGCTCAGCCGCTGATGTGCTGCGTTGATGGAGGCAAGTCCCTGCAAGCTCATGCTCCCATCTCAGACTCTACAGCAGTTTCAGCAGGGAGCCGGACTGGAATCCACAGTTCTTAATGATTTGGAGGGTCATGACCCCCCTGAGAATGTGATGAAAACCAGGGACAGCAGGACACATGCAGGAAGAAACAAATTTGTTCCCTTCCAGCTTGCTTGGACTAGATGCCCACAGTCAAATGGGAACTCACTCAAGGGCTCGAGTACCTCCTCATCACACCCTCCCTCAGACGCAAGCGCAGTTCTCTTAGAAGGGCCCGGGATAGAACCCGATCCTGGGCCCTTGTCTTCTGAGTGTACTCTTAACTGGTTTGAAAGCCCTAAGCTACGGAGAGGCCTACAAAGCGTCGCTAGTACTGGACGAACTAACAACACCCAGCAGGCTTCAGCGGAGATCCCAACATTAGATACGACCGGAAATAGAGACATTTTGAAAAATCTGAGCACTAGAACAGGGCTCAGTATAGACCTGGTTTGGGTTTTGCTCAGATGAAGAGGAACTTGGTGTGGAGTTATCCGGGACAGGGAGCATGAGGTGCATGAATGGTAAATGCTGACTGCCTTAAGGGTACAAGGGAACAGGGTCTTCCTGGGGGAGAAGCAGCATGTCGCGGCAGAAAGGGGAAGGGAGGGAATCACTAGACCAGTGAATCGGGGTCAGGTACAAGCCTCAACATACGCACGCTCTGACTTTGGGGAAACCGTCCCTGAAGTAAGGGGTGGCAGCACCCGCTATGTAAGTGAGGCCGTGGAACTGAATCCCGGCTGTGAAACTTACTTGCTCGACAGTTTTGACACACTGACCTGAACCTGTTTCCTTACGAGAAACCATCACTTTGGAGGACCCTTGTAAGAATGGGACTACATCCTTTATGAGACACACCTGCCAAAAGTAGAAGCTGGATAAATAGAAATAGGATTTCTAGGGCTCCTAAGAACACACAGCGTGATCATGCTTATTCCTAATGAGATACTGCTGGGAAGGGAGAAAAATCAAGTATTTTGCCTAGGACTTTTCTGTGCAGCTCGTAGGTCTAAGATGTGTCTGCTTTTTGGGAAAGTCTTTTCCTTCTCCTTTGATTTATTCCGTCTGTGTGAATAGGATTCAAAATTTTTTATCATTTCACTACAGCTCTGGGGGGCATGCTGGTTCAATGCAACAAAACCATAAACCCTAACCCTACCTTGGCAGTCCTGTTACACACACCTGAAACTGAGCAACTAAAAATGCCTTATCCTGGAAATAGTTTGCTCTGCAAACGGAATTCCTGCTGGGGTTTGCAGTCCTCTGAAAAGGCCTGGCTTTATGAGGGTGAGGCAGAAAATCAGCGGGTCCTTCTTTAAAGCCCAGAGCCTTGCACACAGTAGACCTAGTCCAACACCTGTTTCTTCGCATTTGAAGCAGCTTGTTTGCTATAACCTTGGGCAGATGATTGTGCATAAAACTGGTATCTAGTGTTCAGGGACATCATCTGGACCCTTTTATAATTTATTTCAAAGGTATTTTTCAGGAAAATTAAATTTTGATGATGACTTCCCATCTGCTCTCAAGGATTTTCTTTTCTCTAACTCGGTTCTGATTAGAGATCTGGCTTCTTGTTCTTTTCTCTGGGAGGAGGAGACCTTCACAGCCACAGGCAGCGTATGTCCCAGCAAACACCCCCTCACAGTTGTAAATCCACATGGTGGAAGACTAGGCAGTGACATCCTATTAAGAAAAAAAAAAAAAAGAAAGAAAGAAAGAAAAAGTACTCAGTCTTGCCTCTTTTTGCCGCTAACTTACTAAGTGATCCTGGTCAGGTATTTGGGCCACATTTCCCCATCTGTGTGGAGGGAGGGAGGGTGATGCTTGAGATGGTGCCTGTGGTCTCTTCCAGTTCACTTTCAAGTCTGGGTTCTTAACCTTCTAGCTTATTATGTCTGTGGTAGAGCCAATTCAGGCCGAAGACAAAATCCCCCCAAAATGCCCTAAGTCAGCAGGCACACAACTTTTCCTGGTGAGGAAAAGTGCTTGGTCCCATACTGGAAATTTTAAGACTGTTACATCAGATTGGAAGTCAAACTTCGCACCCTCTGGTTCTTTCTTTAAATGAAGTTTTAAGAATTCATTATCCAGATTCCCCTGTGGACCTTTTGGTATCATGTGCTGTTTAGAAATAATCCCACAACTTGCTTTTGAGACCTGCATCCTAAAACCAAAATAGCTCCGTGATACAGCCTCTAAGTCATCATTTATTGATTTACAGAGCACCCACCACATGATGGAGGTGCTTTACAATACAGCAAACATCACAACAGAACTCATAGTTAAATACAATCAACAAGTTACAGAACTAAAAAAAGCTGGAATGAAGCAACATTATGTCAAATTTCAAAGATGCTGAGAAGTGGCAGGTACAAAGAAGGTAATTCCACCAACTGGAGACCAGACAGGCAAAAATAGATACACAGGCACCACAACCCAAAATGTGCAGATTTGTAGAGGGTAAGTGAGCATATAGAATAAAATTTCACAACCGAGAATGAAGGCCATTAAAGATACCAGGACACCCAAGTGATCAGAGAACCAGTGGAATCGCCTCACAAAGAGACCGCCTTGTAATGACAAGGAAACCAATCTCACGTGGATTTTAAACTCACAGAAAGAGGCCAGAAAGCCACTGAGATCATCCATCCCATTATGAGCACAGACTGAAATCTATGAGCCTTTACAAGAACTTACAGCCAACAATTCTAAAACCCCTAAGACTGTATAGATGTTGTTGATAGTTGGCACAGAGTTAGGGAGAAAAATCCTTTTCCTAAAGCAGAGAGGACTCACCTCACACTAGTGATGAGGCGCTGGTGGGACAAAAGCCACCTGGATCAGTGTCACCTGAGAGTGGTTTAGTGTCAAACGTGGAGGCGTGCAGTTCACACTGTCAGATGAACACGGGCAAAGGCACAGGTGACGCCCCTGGCAGAGGAGACAGGTCACACCACCTCCCAAGGCTTGTGTGTCCACATGGAGCACGCCAGGGCGCCAGGTGGAAAGGAGCATGAAGGGAGGGGCACTGGTTCCTGGCTCTCCCTTCGACTCCCCTAGATCTAGCCCCAAAACACACATGGTTACACCAAAGTACCTGCATGAAAGTGGCACTTAGAGTTCAGTAAGAGTTGTCCCTGAGTTAGTAGGTCATTTGCTGCTCCCTGAAGAGTCAAATCCCAGGTTTTAACTCAACAGATCACTAGCAGAATCACAGCAAGAAGAGAGCAAAATCCAGTCTCCGTTCTGCCACCAGCAACCATGTGAACAGTTTCTGATTTAAGAGTAAAAGGGACTGCGTTCAAATCCCAGGCAGGTGTGCAGTACCAGCACTTTGGGGCAACGAGGTTTAGTCTTTGAATAAAGAAAAGCCACAAATGAAGTTCTCGAAGAAAACCAGATGCAATGAATCAAATCAAACAATTTTCACATTCAGTCATTACACATTTGTGGGTTTTTATAATGCTTCAGAGTAAAGAACAGACAAGGATTTAGGAAAATCACTCTCTACTGTGTCTACATCCTCAACCATTTTACTTTTGCTTAAAGAAGGACATGCAGCGTCCACAAGGATGGGTTACTTGTGGGGACCCTTTCACTCTCTGCCAAAGCATCTCTCCAAGCCCCACAGAGCAGAGACACGCCGATTCCCACGGAATCGTGTCCCTTACAGGCCAACTACTACACTTCCCAATCCCAACCTCACACCCAACACAGGGGAACTTGGGCCTGCCATTAACACTGCACACGTTCACTTCATCATTTCCTGAAGCTGTTTTAGAAAGCATGATATGAAATATACTTATGCTCAAACACGAATAAAATCCAAGTGCACTGTGTCAGTGACAGAATCTATATGTCAAATAGCAGAGCATTCACACCCCTATAATGCTTTGAGATCCACGTAAGAACCTAGATAGAGCCCAATACTACACTGCCATGGCCATGGGATTTTCAAGTATTAAGTCTGTTTGCATAAGGAATCAACCTGAGATTTTTCTAAACTGCACTTCTCTGGCATTCAGTATTATAACCTTCATTCAATACAATAAGAGCCAACAACTTGACAATTATTGGAAAAAAATTATATTTTGGAAGAACTCACTACATAAGGTGACAGAATTCCAAAATCAAATTACATGAAAATATACATCGCAATTTCTTTGTACAGTAAGTGAGAAAAATCTGCAATATAGAAGAACAGAGGCAAAGAAATTCGGAGGGCCACGGAGAAAGGGGTGGGAGGTCAACAACGTCTGTAAGAGCAAACCCACAAGTTAAGCAGAAAGCCTGCAGCTGGGCACACTAATCCATCCAACCTGAACGCCCAGGAACGAACGGGAAGGCAAAAGACAAACCAAACCAGAATTTTGTACTGTCTGGGGCAAGTGTCAGTAAGCTGAATTCCGAACCAACTCTTTTGAGTTCTCAGGGGTGACGGAGTTCAAGAGCTCTCAACAGCCAAAATGTGGTATTGCTCCACCCGAGCCAAGAGATGGTGCAACTGGAGTACCAAACGACAAGCACCTAGTGATGACCACTCCTCCGAAGTCATCGTTAAAAATCAAGTAGTTGCTTATTAAGTATTTCCGTACTGGAACTAAATGATGTGAAAACTTTCTGGCAGAGAGAAGAGAGAAAAGCAAAGGGGAGTGTGTCAAAACAAAGAAGATACAAAAGTTTAGTAAGTGAAAAGAGTTTAATGAAGCCTCAATGGTTTAAAGGAAATTAAATGGAAACTTTTAATCCTAATTGTTTTTCATCTGACATGCTTTAAGGAGTCTTTTAAAACTGATAAGAAACAATGAATAGGGAAAGAAAACCTGCTAAAATCTTTTAGAATTTACACGATTCTTATTCTACTACAAGAAAGCATTATTTGGTACAAGGTGTATTTGTGGATGTACATGAATAGTATATATATTATCCGGATCATGTTGTGCTATGTACAGGTCTTTACAATTCTTCCTGAAGGTTAAAACAGTTCATTAGAATTCAAAATGCGTAATCCTCTGTAAGTTGGCACTTGTTAGGCTCTTGTCAGCTCTGATACTGGCATGTTCTATTGCAGCCCAGCTCCAGCCAGTGTCCGCCAACTTGTTACAACAGAAGTCCAGCAATAGGTGGGTAGAGTGCAGGAAAAACAGTGCCATGTTTCTCAATTGGAGACCTGCGACAAAACAAACAGCATTACATAATGAATTTACAGAAGAATTATTTGATTAGAAATTTTTATTTGTATTCTATTTCTTTGGAAACAAGTTCTTAATTTCATTTTAAGCTCACTTTTGTGCTCATCCAACATGGCAGCCACATAGGCCCATTTTATTTCAAATTTAAATTACAGTAAATAAAATTTACAATTCAGTTCAAGTGCTCAATATGGCTAGTGACTACCATACTGGACAGTACAGATGTAGAATATTTCTACCTATCAGCGCAGAAAGTTCTATTGTACTTCCCTACTTTACATTGTTTTCAATATCCCAAATGTCTGTCAACTTATATTGCATCTAGAGTCAAATACAGAAGAACTACTTACAAGTCAAGTGATTTGGAAATTTATTAAGTATTTAAGGATATTCAGAGAAACAACGTAAGACTGCCATACTTCCCAACTTGTTGAATTTTATCCAACCCTACAGGTTCGGTCCAAACCCATTTTCTACGTGAAGCTGCCCCCAACGGACCCTCTACTCCAAGTACAGGTACTTCTATTACTTTGCATCTGGCCGCTCTCATGCCCTCAGTCAGCCTAGAAGTCAAGAACCCCATCTAAATAAAAGCAACTACTATCTTATCAAGCACTTATTATGTGCCAAGCAAGTTTACAAACTTATCTCAGGCAGTGTTCATAAGCACCACACGAAGGCGTTTCCCCCTATTGTAGAGAGAAAAGTGAGACACGGTGGCACAGCTAATAAGGGGCAGGGTTTCTTGCTCAAAAAGTGAGAAAAACACTAGGTTCAAGTTCAAAAAAAGAAAAAGAAGTCTAAGTTAGGGGCGCCTGAGTGGCTCAGTCGTTAAACATCTGCCTTCGGCTCAGGTCGTGATCCCAGGGTCCTAGCATCAGGCCCCGCATTCGGGCTCCCTGCTCCCCGGGAAGCCTGCTTCTCTCTCTCCCACTCCCCCTGCTTGTGTTCCCTCTCTTGCTGTGTCTCTCTGTCAAGAAAAAAAAAATAAAAATAAAAAGTCTAAGTTCATGATTGGACTTTCCTTCAGAGCTGTTATTATTGTGTGCTCTGAGTACACAGGGGAGCAGGGAGGGGAGCAGGGAGGAGAATCCTGTTCTTCTATCAGGTCCGGGTGTTCCAGAAACTCACACACCTGTTCTGTCTGCCAGGCACAGTGCTGGGCACAAAGAACCTGAACAGAAGATGACTGGAGAGTCAAAGGACATAACGTTAAGCTCCTAACAAAGAAGCCAGGCATACTCAGAGTTAGGACAAATATTTAAGTCACACCACAGTGTGTCTTCTAAAGGCCCGAACGAATTTATCAACCTCACCATCCCCCAAATTCAACCGTACCAAAGCTCTGTTGTGGGTAGAAAGCAAGCTGTGGGCCTACCCACATGTGGCCCTGCATGTGCCCATTTCCCTGACGTGGACCACCTCCCCAAAATAGCGCCTGCGAGGCAGAATGACTGCTCCATTTCCTTCCAAAGGGGTTGTGCTGGTCAACGCTCTCGGCTGCTGGCAAAGCCAGGAGCGCACCAGAAATGCGCACGTCACCTTCCCCAAAAGCAAGCTCTTCTGCTGGTGCACAAACACAAAATGTGCACAGGTGTTTCGCTGGAAGATCTAAAGACATTACTGAAACAAAGACACATCATTACAGAATAGGCGTTATATAATTTTTAGGTGATGTTACTTGAATATTCTTCCAAAGACTAGACCAACCACACCCAAATTAGTCCCTGGCCATTTAATCTCTCAGGGCTGAGACAGAGCTGGGTACAGAGATTCCATAATCATTCCCCGAGGATACAAACAAGAAATTTCAGGGCCATGAAACAATCATTTTAAAAACTGCGTCTGTGTAAGGTTTTAAAAAGAAAAATACTCCAGAGGGGACTGACTGCTCAGTCATTAAACACCTAAAATCAGGCAACCCAGCTTTAAATAGCATTAACTTTTTCAGCAGGAATAGAAAAATCTGTTTTCTCCCATGAACAAAATGTATTCTAAACAGGGAAAAAGCCTCAGTACAGAAAAAGCAAGTCTGTCAAGTCTTTTCTCTAGCAAGATAAATGTGCAACTGAATCTCCTGGTCACACCCTATTTATTTAAATTGATGGTCCTGACCTCTGACAGTCATTTATGTTTTGTAAGTGTGTCCCATTTCCAACTTAAACTACATCTGCCTGTTATTAAAATCACATACACTTGATATTAATTGAAATTATATCAATTGTATGTCTTTATGAAATAACCTTATCTTTTTTTTTTTTTACCTCAAAACTTCATATTATTCCCAATTTTTAACCTACAAATCTGGAGATGGTTCACCTCTAAAGGACATCAGTATCTTGGTCTATTTATTTCTAAAACTAGAATCAAATCAATTTCCTATGTGGCTACACAACTCAATTTTTTTTAAAGTCTAAAAAAATACATATCAGGCAAGCATGCTTCCAAATAAAAACCACTTTTGATGTTAAGGATAATAACAAAAGTAATTCCTCACTCAGGAATAAGTGTTTCCAGTAATGTCAACCGTTCTTCACCGAGAGCAGTCCCTGCGTGTGGGGGAGCTTCCCGTACCTTCCACACAGACGCCCCCGGCGCCCCTCGAGGCAGCAGCTCCCCACCAGCAGCCCGCTCCTCTTCCGTGCCGGGGGAACCGGGACCGTCCACAGCCACTTCTTCTCTGAGGCCCGAAGCACCTCACAGTCTGGCTCCCCTCCTGTGACCCACCAGCCCACGGGTCTGCTGCTTCCTTCTGCCCTGAAATGTGCCGACCGCGTAAGCGGCTGTCCCTGGCCCTTCTAAGTGAACCTCTGCCTCTACTCTGGGGACCCCAGTCTCGGCAGGGCCATTCCGCATCAGCCGCATGCCACATATGGCCTGCTCTCCTGAGACCCCACCACCTGTGCACATGGCAGGAAATGAACCAGAATCATTAACAAGAACTGCCATGTGCTCAGGGTCACCTGTTCTTGGTGTCAGCTCCCACTTCAAATACAAACCTTCATCCTTAATGATCTGCAACTGTTAAGCAGCAGACCTGCATCATCACATCAATACACATAAATCCTACTGAACTAGCAAAGTCCATGTCAAAATTTTAAAAAGTACTCTAGGTCTCCGCCCGTGTTACTATCTACACAGACACGTACATCACGTGTGTGTACGTGAGTGCTGGGAGGAGTCCGATTTCTGAAGATGCAGCTACTGTGTGTCAGTGGTCACCTCGGGAACAGACCTTTTCCTCACACGGAGAAGCTTCTGTTTCCAGAGTGTCGTCATGCCTGCTTTGTCCCTGCAGCTGGGGACAGGAGTGAGGACAGAAGAGGGGCAGCGATGAAGAGGCAGGCAGGGAGCAGTGACAGAGGCAGAGCCCTAGCTCGCATGGGTGAGACCGGAAGACGCTTCCAGAAGGATGACCAACAGTGTCAAATCAAACAGATTAAGAGTCAAAACTCCATTAAGCTGTGGACGTGGCCAACAGGCGGTCCCCACTATCCCGATCAGTCTACCCTCCTGCAGGGAGGAAAGAAGATGAGCCCAATGTGCTCCAAAGCAGACAGTTAAGGGGAAAGGGCAAAGCCCTGTTTCCCAGTGCCCTTTTCCTCCCAAAGTGAAGGACCACTGCAAATTTTATGAATTTTATGTATTTCTTCAAGTCCCTGCTTTTAAAAAAGCTCTTCACCACACAGCGAGTAGGTTGCACTTTTTAACTCAGATGAACAGTACCCTACTCTATGCTGTTTTTTCTTTTTTGCAAATTGCTTTTCCTACTCAAGACTGTTGTTTGAGATTTAACCACCTGGTTACATATAACTAAGTCTACACTACACACGCATTAGTTGCTGGGTAATATTCCACTGTATCAATCGTAACTGACCAATCCTGCTGCGGGGCCTTTTAGAAACTACACACGCCCTGCAAGCGCACACGAGCCAGCCTGTCTCCAGCCACAGCCCGACCTCGTGGCGGGTGCGCGGTTCAGACCCCGTATCGCCAACCTGCTCTCCAACGCGGACGCGCCTCCACTCATCCCGTACTTCAAGGACACCGTTTCCCCAAATCCTCACCAACATCTGGGTTTCTCAAACATTTTGATTTTTGACAATCCAGTCAATGTGATGCTATCTTCCTATACCTTCGTATTTCTGATTACAAATGCAGTCATTTTTCACATTACCTAGACAGATCATTTTCCTTTGTACTGCTTGTTTTCCCACCGATTTACACAAGCTGGTGGACATTCTAGATACAAATCCTGAACACCAGATAGACAATCTTTTCCCAGTCTGCTGCTGCTTTTTAAGTTTATTGTCTTGTCATAATATTTAAGTTTTCAGTTTTGACACAGTCCAATTTATTGATTTTTCCCTTCTCCAGGTGTCTTCTGTGCCTAACAAGTCCTTCTCTACCTTGATATTCTCCTTTATTTTGTTCTAAAATAGCTGTGTTTTTCATACTTAATCTTCTCTTCTGGGACTTACTGGAGACAGCTAACAAGGTCGGGCAGGTTGCTGGTATCAGGGGGTTGCAGTTCAACAGCCCTGCAGCGGATACGGTGGAGTGTTTCAGGAGGTCAGAAAGGCTTAACATGGCAGGAGCCTTGATGTTCAGAAGCCTGCGTGAAGACGCGGGGGCTAAGCCTTCAGTGACCCGAGCATGAAACCCACCAAGGATGCAGTCTGCTTGGGATCATCACTTACACCACACATGGTCTCGACTAAGCAGTGGAGAGAATATGCAGCCCCCGCCCCACTTGTGCTTTTCGCTTTCTCTCAAATAAATAAATAAAATCTTTTTTAAAAAATGTTGTTTTAAGCCACAGGATTTTAGACAATTTGTAACACAGCAGTGGAGAACTAAAATAATCTCTCTAGCCTTAACGCAGAATAATAAGATAGAGTCTTCCCGTCTGGGGGCCCAGAATGTGGTCCTGCTGCTGATCTGTGGGATGCAAGGATTCGCTTCTCCCCCGCTGTGTCCTCTCTTCCTCCCACCCCACACCTGAATGAGAAGACAGATAAGGCTGTTAAGGTCTTTATGGAGGATGAGGTATAAATACCAAGAAAAAGTGAAATAAGGAGACAAACTCCTAGACTCAGGGCCTGGGGGAGGGCAGAGTGCTCCGGTCAGGCAGGAGGAAGACGTTCGAGGGGTCTGTTGTACACCAGTGTGCATAAAGGCCATACTGCAACGTGCACGTAAGAACTGGGAAGAGGGCAAACCCTCATGTTTTTTTACCACAGTTTTTTAAAAAGTGAACTAAATAAAGTCTGGATCAAGTTCTTGAATAGTAATACTTCCATTTTTAGAAAACACAAGTCATGGATTTGGATGGAGATTTTTTTTAAACAATTTTAAATCTATTTTTGTTGAACCTCAGGAGTTTTATTTCACATCTACATCCTATGGCATGACTAAAGCTACTGAGGACACACAGAAACAGCACGTCGACGAGCCATCAAGAAAACCAGCCTTTACGAAGAGTCTGAGTGACAGGCCAGCCTGGCTATACCTGCGGCAAGGAACCGGGGTTTCTGTGGCCTAGCCTCATGCGTGACAATTATGTAAGGACAAGGGCATGTGAAGATCACAAAGGCACCTCAATCCAACAGCAGCGTACCAAGCTCTGTGCATCGGTGGATGAGTACAACACAGACCTGCTTTTAGAAGACATGAGTTAAGTCATGGATTTTGATGTGAATTTTTTAACGTCCAATTTTCAAATGATTCCACTCTTAGTTAATCCAGAGAGATGACTGGGCTCGGGTGCTTATCATGGCAACGTACTGCAGGTAACAAGAAGAGTAAGAAAGCACTCATCAGTGACTGCGAGTTAAGGGCTCTGAGACTGTCAGGCTTGGGGGGGGGAGGGGGGGAGGAGCATCTGTTTGAAGAGCAACTGCTTCAGGAGAGGAGATGGGCCTTGTCCCAGCACGTGGCAGAGGAAGGAGGAGACGCATTCCAGAGCCCGGGCGTGGAAACTAGCTCCCTCCCGGCCGGCACTCAAACACTTCCCAAGTGATGGGGAGATGCAGCCCAGAGAGAGAAGAGCTACAGGAACAAAGGGGGAAATGACTAATAATTTTTAACACACAACAGGTGGGACTGGGCACTTGCATGCTGGTCTAACAAGTCTGCATTAATATGCATTAATCAGTGTTTCCCAGGAAATGTCATCTCTGCCCACAGGTGAGCGAAAGGATCCTCCTGATGAGCTCCCAACTGACAACAAAATACTAATTCCTTTATTCAGTTCTTATCAACGAAAGACACACACACTTCAAGGACGATCATTTTTTACACAAAAGCCTGAGCTTAAACAGTAACTACAATGAATCATTCACAAAATTGGTGTATTAATTTTATTTAAAATTCCGCTCTATCAAGGACTCCAGCTGCCACGTGCCCTGCAGCAGCGCAAGCCATCACCATGTAGCTGGCGGACAAGCAGCACGTGAGAAGGATGTTCTGTTACTGACTTTCCAATTATTGCTTCCTTACTCTTTAACTGGACGTTCTCAGTTCAGTGTCATCATTCACAGATCATATTTTCAACTAACCTATTCCATACAATGAGGTATTTTGAATCAACATTATTTTCTGCCTCTATCTTTTTGATGAGTGCACTTTACTCTTGGGAAGTATACTTTAAACACACGTGTATGTTATGTTCCAATATAAACTAACTCTAATCCCACTAGCAAAGGAGAGAATATATAATCCCTTACAAAATTTGTTTGTGGTCCCTCATTAGTATTTTATTTATTTAACTAATTTGCAATATACTGTCAAGGTAAATATAATAAAATTCTTGGTTATTTCTTAAATTTATGAAGTACTACTTATGAGATGAAATCACGTGTACCCTTGGCTTCAGTATCTGCAATTCTCTGTCGTTGTCCCAACTCTCTGACTTTGAGGCCGTGTGGGTAAGAGATCCCTAGGACATGGTCACATCCACGCAAGAACCCATGCGAAGAGCAGAGTGGACGCCGGGCACAGCGGGGGCATCCAGGACAAGCATCCGGATGAAGTACAGGCAGGAAAGCACACAGTCCCAGCAGACTGAGACGTGGTCTATGAACAACAGTAGGAAGCAAGGACCACGGAGTAGATGGGAGGAAGGGTGAGGGAGGGAAATAAGGACAGGATTATTAACCAAACATAAGCAGCTTAGACACAACAGGCTGGTGGAAAACAGAAATAATCTGAAGACCGCAGGTTGTTGCTATCCTTGGTCGTAAGAGAGAGAAGTAAGGTTGACAGCCGGCATTTCTGGTTACTATGAGGAGATCAGAAACCAGGGACATCAAACATGGAAACAGGGCAAGTGGTGGGTAGACTCAGTCTTACTTCTGATTTGCACCTTTGCATTTGATACAGTTCATCATAAAAATAGTAAATAAAAATGAAAACAATGTGATGCTAGTTTAGGGATAAGATAGGCCAACTAATAAAACACATTAAGGTCAGAAACAGATCGACACATACCTGGAAATGTAACTTCCTAGTATAACCGACCCTGAGCATCGGTGGTGAAAGAACCTGCCAACAATCGAAGCAGCCAATGGTTGTAGCCTGGGGCGCGGGCAGAGCCTCACACTGCACACCAATCAATTTCAGGGCTTCAACACATATACCAAAGGCAAAACCATAAAACTTTCACAAGACAAGATGTAACAGGAGCTTTCAGGTGGCAGAGAAAAAGCTAGAACACAAAACGTAACTCCGTACAGGAGAGGTCTAATCTGACTGCATTAAAATTAAGAATCTCTGTTCGTCGGGGCGTCTGGGTGGCACAGTCAATTGAGCGTGTGATTCTTGACGTCTGCTCAGGTCGTGATCTCAGGGTCATGAGGTTGAGCCCTGTATCGGGCTCCGTGCTCAGCACAGAGCATGCTTGAGACTCTCTCTCCCTCTCCCTCTGCCTCTGCCCCTCCCCTGGCTCAAGTGCACATGCCCTCTCTCTCTCAAAAAAAAAAAAAAAAGAAAGAAGAATCTCTGTTCATCCAGAGATTCCACAAAGAAAGGGAACTGACCAGGATACAAATCCAGAAGCTAACAGAAAAACAGCCCAAGAACAGGAATTTCCCAGGGAAAGGGCCAAACACATGAAATGATAGTCAGCTGGGCCGGCCACACACGTCAGAGCAAGGGCTCACTCCACACCCTTCCAGATGGAAACTTCACAGAGGTCTGGTGGTATCAAATGCAGGGGAGGATCCGGAGTAAATGGAATCCGTTTCCTTGTGAAAAGGAGTATAAACAGATGCAGAATTCTGGAGACAACTTGGCATTACCCAGTCCAAGTGATGTGCACAGACCCTTCACTCAACAATTCCAACCCCACGAACACACCCGGAGGGGCTCTCCCTGCGAACATGCAGCAAGAAATGAGACAGCCACACTCACTCTGTCAGCAAACACAAAGCAAAACACACAGATGAGAAACCTCTCCCCACATCAGAGGATAACTGCAGTCAGAATCAAGAGCAGGACAGTGACTCATCTAATGAGGTCCCGCATGACAGTGACAACAGATGGATACAACCAGACACAACACAAACCAGTTTCAAGAATATAACACTGAGCAATACCAAGTCACAAAGGAATGCATACACTGTAGTCCATGCACACACAGTGCAGCGTCCTACAGCACGCTATTTAGGATATTACAAACTGATGAAATGATGAAGGAAGAACCGTGGTAAACACAGAACTGAGCGTATGAGAAGAGGCTGGGGCAGAAGAGGGGAACACAGGGTAAAACAGGTGGCAGGAACAGGATGCACCATGACCTGTGATCCTTTACATGCTCCATGTCCTAAATAATTTTATCACCCCAACATTTAAGAAGAAAGAAAGAAAGAAACCAAATAACTAAAATGTCACACATTTGGTCAGTGGCCCACACCATGTCCCCTTCTATCCTTGACTCCCTACTGGACGTAATAAAAACCTTCGGACAGATGGTATACAATACAAGGGAAATTTTTCCTATTGGCCCTATTAGTTATGAACAGGGAGATAAAGACCAATGAAAACATGGAAGGTAGGGGTTCCTGGGTGGCTCAGTCGGTGAAGCATCTGCCTTTGGCTCAGGTCATGATCTCAGGGTCCTGGGATCGAGCCCCGCAACAGGCTCCTTCCTTGCTCAGCCGGGAACCCACTTCTCCCTCTCCCTCTGTGCTCTCTCTCTCTCTCTCTCTGCCTGTCTCTCAAGTAAATAAAATCTTAAAAAAAAAAGAAATTAAGAAAGAAGACATGGACGATAGATGTTTAATGGTCTTGCCAGTTTATTACAAAATATGATCTTCCTTTACAAAAACAACTTAGGAAGTGAAACTTCGTGTCACCCTTTACTATAAGCCGCACTGAAGCAAGTACCATCAGTGAGAAGACAGAGATCACAACCCCACACTGGCCAGTGAGACAGATATCTAGTGCAAGACGCGGAGTCTAGTGGCGCAGAATGCACGTGGGTCACACGGTTTCTGCTGAGAAAACAAGAGACCTCTGGACACTCCCACTAAAGAAATGAAGCTAGTAAAATCAGGCACTTCAAAAATCCAAATCACACAACTTCCAAAAATGTATATGCCATTTATCACAAGGCAAAAGAGGAGGATTTTAAAATGAACTCACCCTGAAATAATGAAGTTACAGCTGTTGAACAAATGTCACTCAAAAGCAGTCTCTTGGCTTTTTCTTACACAGCGGGCAACTTTCCTTTTGAATTCTCCATTTCTGTCTTCCCTCCATTCTTTCTGTAGATACAAAAGTAACATGAAGTGACTTTATCCAAGCTCTTCTTACAGTCTCAAATACTAGTTTTAATTTTGAATGTAACGCTTTGGCAACATGCACACTTTTAAAATGCTGAGAAGTTGTTAAGTCAGAAAAGTAGTCAAAAAGTACTTTTGCCAGGCACTCTGCTGGGACACAAGAGCAGAAATCCCTTAACCTGTACGGGCACAATTCTCTTAAAGAAAGAAGTCCATAGGGGCGCATGGGTGGCTCAGCCGTTAAGCGTCTGCCTTCGGCTCAGGTCGTGATCCCAGGGTCCTGGTGGCTCAGTCTTTGTCTGCCTTTGGCTCAGGTCATGATCTCAGCGTCCTGGGATCGAGCCCCGCATTGGGCTCCCTGCTCGGCGGAAGGCCTGCTTCTCCCTCTCCCACTCCCCCTGGTTGTGTTCCCTCTCTCGCTGTGTCTCTCTGTGTCAAATAAATAAATAAAATCTTAAAAAAAAAGAAAGAAAGAAAGGGGTGGGAAACGCTGGAGGAGGTGCCGACTTGGGACAAGGGAGATCATCATTTTGGGTTCCTGAAGACAAGAAAGGAAGGTCTGGAGCTCAGAGAGGCTTTGGCTGTCAAACACTTTGGAAGCATTTATATAATCATATCTACCCTAAAAGTTTAAGATGTAATCATCAACCAAAGATATTAAAAGATGTGAGGATAGGGTGCCTGGGTGGCTCTGTTGATTAAGTGTCTGCCTTAGGCTCGGGTCATGGTCTCATGGTCTTTAGTGTCTCAGTGTCTCAGGGTCCTGGGATCGAGCCCCACATCGGGCTCCCTGCCCCTCGGGAAGCCTGCTTCTCCCTCTCCCACTCCCCCTGCTTGTGTTCCCTCTCTCGCTGTGTCTCTATCAAATAAGTAAATAAAATCTTAAAAAAAAAAAACAAAAAAAAGGACAGTTTCATATTACTGGAAAAGGCCTTACAGGTAAGCTATTCAGGCCACGGGAAGGACTGCCGGCTCCCTCTGGAGGCTCCAGAAACTACAGCCGACACAAAGGCGAAATTTCTTCTGGAAAACCAAAAGCAGATGGCAGAGAAATGAAACATGGAGCAGAGGAGAGAAGTCTCCCTGGAACCAGAGCAAGGGAGGGACAGGGCCGACCGAACAGAAGGCACAGTTTAGACAGAGTCACTAAGATGCAGGAATGAAAACAGAGATACAGCCCAGCAGTTTGGCATTTTCCTCCCACCTATATCCAAAAGTCTAACACTTCCCTGAAAGAGTGATGACCGTTTCGGTACACTGAGAGACACTTATATGAAGAGCTCTCTCGATGTAGGGCCACTAGCGTGGGGCCGAGGACGGAACCGCCTCTCCAGTCTGGAGCTCAGGGTCTGGCTCACTGCCCGCACACTGGAGTGGAGCTGACGCTATGTGTGTGCACGTGCTTTCCTAGACCTGCATGTCCTATCTGGAGTCATGCATGCACAGCTGTGTAGAAAGCCTACAGGGTTCTGGCACAGACTTCAAAATACAAAAGAAACACAAAAGAAAACATTGGCCTCAGAGAATGACCAGAATTTAGCTTTGAAAAATTTAATTAGAACTCGCACAAGGTGGAAGAACTATTAACTTCATCAAACAGTGACAAGATTTTATGAAAAAGGAAATTAATGCAGAAAAGAACAAGCACTTAAAATTAAGAGTAACACCGCCAAAATGAGAATTCAATAGGAACTCAGAATCAGCACGAGTTTAGATGAACCAGAGCACAAGAATCAATCTGGGCAGCAGCTACAAATCCAAATAAGGAAGGGATATACACTCAAATAAAAAATTAATAAAAAACAAGAAGGAAAGAATACTATACATGAGGGAAACTTCCCAGAGCTGAAGTCCTGCAAGTACACGCCAACCAGAGGAGTCCCCCCACTACCCCCAGCCGCGGCTACGCTCTCTGTGGGCTCAGTTGCCCACGGCCGACCCTGGTCTGTCCAGGAGCAGACGGTCCCCCTTCTGACATAACACCAGAAGGTCAACAGGAGGCTCAGAGTCACTCGCCCCGCTTCATCTTGTCGTGCGGGCACATGATCCCCTCACAAGGACGGCGAGCACAGGACTCTGAGGTACTGAGAGCCCCACAGCACACGACTTTTATTGCAGTGTACTGTTATAACTGCTCTGTTTTATTATTAGTTATCGCTGTAATTCTCTCACTGAGCCCGTAAGCTGGACTTTATCATGTGTATGTACATACAGGAAAAAACCTGATGCACATAGGGTTTGGTACTGATCCCCGGTTTCAGGCATCTGCTGGGGGACTTGGTAACACACCACTGATGAAGAAGGGGGAGTACTGTACAGAAGTGAAAAATCTTAAACTCTACACAACAACGTGAAATTTCGAAGACCAAGAATCAGAAAAGAACCTGAAGGGAACAGGGAAAACAGAGGAAGAAAGAAAAGGTCACCCACAAACACAGAAGAGTCAGCCATGCATCAACTTCCTCATCGGCAACAATAAATGCGAAAAGATAAATTCTGTAGAAATCTGCATTCCTCCCCCAGAATTCTACAAACTGTCACTTAAGTATGAGGGTAGGATAAAAACCCTCCGAGACAGGTAAGGACCCAGGTCTTAATTCCTACATAGCCTTCCTGAAACATGACTCTCAGATGAGGTGCAACAACAGGAAGAAGTCAACCAAGAAAAAAGAAAGAGGATCCAGGAAACAGATAATCCCATCCAGAAGAGCAGGAAGGGGAAGTCCAAGGAAGATAGACATGCAGCAGTCTGAGCCAACCTAATCCGGAGCCCAAGGATGGAGGGGTCCAGGAGAGGGATGTCCAAGAAAAATGGGGGTCTCCTGGAATAGCTATCACTGACTGAGAGGTCAAAAAAGCAAACAAACAGAACACCTATGAAAACATGGCAAGGTGTACAATGCGAGAGGGAAGAGCAGATGTGAAAGGTAAATGCAACTATGTGCAACCTGTGGCTTAAATAGGAGACAACTGGTTAAATCAGCAAGAGCAGCAGTGGATTTCGAGCAGTAATCAGAATGACGATGCACGGCCCGTGGTGAGCAGATCTGAGTCCCATCTGCATAGTTCAGCTTCAAGCAGCATCAGGCAAGGGCTGCCCTTTCTCAGGAGTCCTTGTGGTGCCAGGACTCAGCTGCTCCGAAGAGTTAATAACTTCTGCATATTGATACTTTCAGGTACTTGCTCTTAATTTATCCTTAATTTTAACCTTTATGAAGATTAAGATACAATTTGTCAGTTCTGATCTTATTAGAGAGAGTTATAGTTGAGCATGAATCAAAATAAACAAGAATTAGTTCTCCCTCAAAATGATTCCACAGGATTTCTTCTCCCCTCCCGCCTCTTAAGAGTTCTCGGACTGACACTCGACTAAATAAAAAGCTAGGATGGTTTTCTGTCAATTTTTTACTTCAATTTGATCACTAAATATAAAAATGCAAAGGCATACATTTGAAAAAGGTTTATCAAAGTAGTGTTTTTCTACATAGACTATATACTATCACCCAAGTTTTTGTATTAGTTACCTATATAAAAGTTACCCAAATAGAAAAGTGAATTTAATCCCCTGGCTTTGATATATAACTAACAAAAGTTCTAAGAATAAGAATTACAATGAAAGGCTTTTCAAAGGAGAAGAGAAGGCTGAGGAACACTAGACTACTATCCAGAGTAAAGGAGACTAATAAAACATGAATACAAAATAAAATGTGGGTTCCCAGATTCTGGATTTAAAAAAAAAAAAAAAAAGCAGGTATGAGGAACAATACTGGAGAAATCTGAGTATGGGCTTAGTATGCATGGAACAGTACTGAATCAATGACAGACTTGTACTGTGGGTATGAGAAAGGGTGCTCTTGTTCTCAGGAGAGGCCACTGAAGTGTTTACACGTGGAGAGTCAGGGCATCGATAAAGACTTCTCAAATAGTTTAGGGGGGAAATGTAAAATCTCCACAACTGGTGAATCTAGGTGAAGCGTGTTTATAGCTATGAAAGACGGGGTCCTTATTCTTAAAAGAGGCAGGTTCAAGTATTTAGGAGTAAAGCTTAGTTATGTCTGTAACTCATTTTTGTACAGATTCAGGAGAAACATAAATGTATACAAATTGATCTGTAGACACACACACACACGCACACACATGCTGTCGTTCTAATCAAGTGTGACTGAAGGGGAGGGGAGATTTGCACATGAGGCCTTACCGCAGCATCAACGTTAGCAGGTGAGTCTCCGTTAGGGTCCGCCAGCATTGAAATGACACTAATCATGATGGTTTCCACAGTGTGAATAGGGAGCCAGCGTTCCTCTGGCTTTTCATAACCATATTTATCTTCCCCAGGCTCATGAAGAATGGAAATGCATACATCACCATTTTTATCAACTGCAAAATTAGAGAGTAAGAGTCCTGTTTAAAGTATTTAAAATAACATGGTTAAACATAAAGTGCCTATTATGGATGTGGCCCTGGCTCCCACGGTCCTTTATCAAAGACTGAATATATACAGAAGATGATTTCCAAAAATGGAACCTGTTCACTTTTTAGGAAGACCACAGATTTTACCAAACAGGACCCATCTGTCAGAGCCAAGAGACTCTCCCCCATTTGTGCAGAACTTCAAGATACCTGGCACTTAGATGGTGTCTAGCATTTTACACGCAGTAAACACAATGAATCTGCTCTTTGTTTGTATATAAAGTATACGATCCAAATACCAGAACTGAGTATAGCTCTATGTAATGATTTCCTAGATTCCTCACTAACTTGCTGATCTAAATTGGTGACAGTCAAACATCCAGAGGCTCTCCTAAGAAAAAAATAAGAAGTAACCTCTTAATGCACTTTTTAAATCACATAAAGGCAAAATTACATTTTCAGGAAAGGGAGTGCACCCAAATTTACAAAAGGAGCATGTCATATTGCCCGTGAAAATTCATCAACGTTAAATGACAGTCATGAGGCATCTTTTCTATAAAACCAGGATTTAAAATCCAAGTCACAAATTAGTTGTTGATCAAAACAAAGGTGAACTTCGAACCCACCAGCTCATTTACATCACACAAATACTCCTTATTGGTGAAACTACCAAAATCATCACTAATCTTTTATGGTGAAGTTTTTTTCTCCACTGCAAAATACAAAATAATAATAGTAAAATATACTTATTTGGAAAATGTTAGAAAAGACAGAAAAATATAAGAATTTTCGGTGTAGGGGCACCTGGGTGACTCAGTCGTTAAGCGTCTGCCTTCGGCTCAGGTCATGATCCCAGGGTCCTGGGATCGAGCCCCGCACCGGGCTCCCCGTTCAGCGGGAAGCCTGCTTCTCCCTCTCCCATTCCCCCTGCTTGTGTTCCCTCTCTCGCTGTGTCTCTCTCTGTCAAATAAATAAATAAATAATCTTAAAAAAAAAAAAAAAAGAATTTTCGGTGTAAAAAGTCTTTCAACCAAATGTCCAAATCCTATCAAAAAAAAAAAAATATCAATGGCAATGTCTACTTCATTCCTAACTTCCTAAGTCTAACAGATTTTTTTAAAGATTTTATTTATTTATTTGAGAGAGAGAGACAGTGAGAGAGCACAAGCAGGGGGAGCAGCAGAGGGAGAAGCAGGCTCCCCGTGGAGCTCCATCCCAGGACTCTGGGATCATGACCTCAGCTGAAAGCAGACGCTTAAATGACTGAGCCACCCAGGCGCCCCCAGATTTGTGACTGGTGTAATTCTCAAGGTTACTTTTCGTCTCCTGACTTGGGCACCTCCCCTGTTGTTAAAAACTCTGGGGAAGCCGCGCCGGAGTCTACACATACTGCTGCTCTCCAGCAAACCCTTCCCGAATGCGTGCTGTGCACATGGGTGTACAAGCACACTCATGTCCCAGGCCCCCACACCTCCTGGTAAAATCTGCTGGGTGCAGTAACTAGATCTAGAGGCAAGAAAAGTAACAACAAACTGTAAGCACACTGCAAAGTTCAACACAAAATGCTTTTACCATCTTCTTTAGATAATTTCCTCACGCATTACATTAAAAGGATTTTTTCCAAGTCATTTTCTTTGAAAACATGGCATTAAATGTTTCTATAAAACTCTATCAGAGAGAATCAATTTAAGATCCATTTTCCTTTTTTGGAAATTACTGTTATAATCCAGCATCTTTAAATTTTTAACCTCAAGTCCTTTCATTTTAAACATAATTTTCTTAAATGAAAGGTTTTTAGGCTTCAGACCTATTACCAAATTACAGTTTATAATGTGAAATACAGGTGGGACACCTGGGTGGCTCAGTGGGTTAAGCATCCGACTCTTGGTTTCAGCTCAGGTTATGATCTCAGGGTTGTGAGATCGAGCCCTGTGTTGGGCTCCGTGCACAGTGGGGACTCTGCTAGAGATTCTCTCCCTCTCTCACTAAAATAAATAAATAAATCTTTAAATTAAAAAGGTGAAAAATAATCTGGTTTTTCCTAAATGCTTTTGGGGGTGAAATTCCTCCAGGTATAGAAAATACACGTATTTCCTCTGGTGCAATGTCCATTCTTACTCTTTACTCATTTATACACTCAAATGTCTAGTTTTTTCTTGCCAAATTACTTCCTTAGTTTTCCCCACGTAAATTTTTCCTCTCACTTTCACGGCCCAACAGTGATCTTCGCTGCCGCCCTCACTGACATGAGGTTCATTTACAAACCTTATTCTGCATTCAGTTGCACCTTCACTCTGTTTAGTCTTTCAGGATGGGTTATGTGTGAAACTAGAAAATTCTTGCCCCCAACACCCAGCAAATAACTAATACTATTTTTTAAAGCCACTTGAAACTGTTTACTCCATTTGGAGTTTTTTTTTTTTTTATTAAAGATTTTATTTATTTATTTGAGAGAGAGAATGAGAGAGAGAGCATGAGAGGGGGGAGGGTCAGAGGGAGAAGCAGACTCCCTGCCGAGCAGGGAGCCCGATGCGGGACTCGATCCCGGGACTCCAGGATCATGACCCGAGCCGAAGGCAGTCGCTTAACCAACTGAGCCACCCAGGCGCCCCATCCATTTGGAGTTTTAATCCCCTTTTCTAAATCCACTCCCCCATACACAGCTAGCCACCAGCCTCGGCCTTGACTACCCAAACCACATGTACCCTCCCAGTTACCCCCTCCCTGGAAGCTGTGTGTCTCAAGTGACAGAAGCCCAACTGACCCCCCTCCCCACCCTCTCCACATGCCCACAAAGTGGGTTCTCTCTCTCTCTCCTCACTGGAAACTGGCTTCTGCTCCCTATCAGGATGCCACGACTGCTCACAGAATGGTCTGAACAACCTTCTCCTGGGTGCTTTTAAAGTCCCCCTTTCTGGGTCACAATGAGGGACACTGTTGAGGACAGCTCCCTCGGCCTCCGTGACACACTTCTTCACTGGCTCTTGAGCCGATCTCTCACCTTCCAGTCTTCCTCAGTCTGACTTGTGACATTACATGATGTTACCCCACTCTCTGGCATTAGCCATCTTTTCTGCGGGGAAATTAACTCATTCTTCCCACCACAATGTTCCCCATCCCCTCTGTCCCCCCAGTTTTGCGGAGCTGTAACTGACAGAGAACATGGTGGAAGGTGAGGTGCAGCACACAGTGATTTCGTACACGCTCCCGCTCACCTTGATGCGGATCAGTACCAAGGCCCTACACTCGCCTCTATCTAAGTGGAAATGGCAAGTACACCTCAAGAAAAACAAATCCAAAATGGAATGCATCTAAGCCACACAAGCGAATTTTCACCTCAGAACAGCATCTCTAACAGCTTTACTGAGACGGAAGGGCACCATTAACGGCTTCTCGCATGTTTACAGGGTTGTAAGCTGTCACCACAATCAATTTCAGAATACACGCGTCACCCCAGAAAGAAACCACACACGCATTAGCAATCACTCCCCATTCCCCACAACCCTCCCCCGAGCCTGAGGCAAGCACGAAGCTGACCTTCTATCCCTAGGCTTGCCGATTCTGACAGTCCAACCTAAACGGAGTCCTACACGGTGTGGGCTTCTGTCACTGGCTTCGCTCCCCAAGTGTCATGTTTTCAAGGCTCATCCTGTCGGTGACGTGCGCCGGGGCTGCCCTCCATAATGTGTTTATGTTAAGAGCGGGTTTTCTCCTCATCAAATGATGGACACTGGAGCTGCTTCTACTGTTTGGCCATTATGAACACTGCTGATAGGAACATTCAAGGACAAGTGTTCTGTGGACGTGTTTTCAACGTTCTTGCTTTTCTATCTCGGAACGGAACCGCTAGACTCGTTCCCCACAGTGGCTGCACCGCTTTACAATCTCACCAGGAGTACAGGAGGGCTCTAATTTGTGTGTCCTCGCCAACACTCGTTATCATCTGCCTTTTTGATGACCGCCACCCTGGCCCGTGTAAAGTGGTGTTTTGCTGTGGTTTTGATTCTGCAATTGTTTTGTGGATGTTCCGTCAATTCTAAATTCTTATCTCATCACCACCATCCACATCTGCTAGTCCAAAATTAGAGTAACTCAATTTCCCTTCCTGCTATGACTCTCCGTTCAAGCTTCCATGGTCTCTTATCCGCAGCACTGACAAAACTGAACAACCTTCTCCTGGCTTTCCCTTCCAATCTTTCCTCCATGGGTGTAATCTTTCCAGAAGGAGACACAGTCAACGTGAAGCTACCACACAGCTTTAAAGTACCAGAATTTAATGAGAAACCACAGCCTAAGGAACAAAGTTTAAGCCAGGCGTTCACACAGTCAAAATTCTGTGTAAGAATCACATTCTCTAGAAGGTACTCCCTGACCCTGTCTTCCACTACCCAACACCATGTGGCAGCGACACTGGTCCTCTCAACGTCACCGTGACGTCTGCGTGTCCGTTCTCCCCCCTCGCAGGCCTGGACACCCTCACAGGAAAGGACCGTGACTGACGAATCATCTTCACCTCCAGTGCCTTGCAGACACTCCCGGCTGGGTTTTCCGTTCGTCCCATGTCTTCGCACGCCTCCTGAGTCCCGCTCTCCGTGTGTCTGCCATCCCCACCCCACCACCTCCTCAGGTTCCCTTCCTTCACAAAGCACCTCCTCTCTCCAGTCAAGTCTTCATTATTTCACTGATGCCTCTCCCCTCATGGCCTGAAAAATGATTCAACCTTCAAACAAATCCTCATTTCATCAGCTGTCCTCTTAAACCACCTAGGCCACTTTTCTCCTTCCTCCCCAAAGAAGAGAAGTCCCACGTGTTGCCCACATACGTGCTCTCACAGAGAAACTGAGGCCCAGAGAGGCTCCACCTACAATCACACAGCTAACGTGTGGTGACGCCAACACTCAGAAGCTCTGTTACATCTTCTTTTGAAATAGGTGCAATTCGGGCGCCTGGGTGGCTCAGTTGGTTAAGCGACTGCCTTCGGCTCAGGTCATGATCCTTGAGTCCCGGGTTCGAGTCCCGCATCGGGCTCCCTGCTCGGCGGGGAGTCTGCTTCTCCCTCTGACCCTCCCCCCTCTCATGTACTCTCTCTCATTCTCTCTCTCAAATAAATAATAAATAAAATCTTTAAAAAAAAAAAAAAAAAAGGAAAGAAATAGGTGCAATTCAAATAACTCAAGTGACGGGTAAGAGAAACTGCCAAAGCCTAGGAAGAGAGGAAACAAAGAGCAAAGCAAGAAGAGGCGGATGTGGTAGATTCAGGCATCCGTGCTCCATGGAGGACTATCGTTCATGCATTCTACCACAAACAGACTGTTAAGAGATATTTCTCTCCGGGCGCCTGGGTGGCTCAGTCGGTTGAGCGACTGCCTTCTGCTCGGGTCATGATCCCGGACTCCCGGGATCGAGTCCCGCATCGGGCTCCGTGCTCGGCGGGGAGTCTGCTTCTCCCTCTGACCCTCCCCCCTCTCATGCTCTATCTCATTCTCTCTCTCAAATAAATAAATAAATAAATAAAAATCTTTTAAAAAAAGAGGTATTTCTCTCCCTCGGCACTGATACAAGGGAGCACAAGTACAAGTATGGGGCCAGTTCCACTCTCTCGAGACCCGTCCATTTCTCAAGCCACTGGGCTCTAATATATTCTCCACACCCTCGTAATAAAGCCTTCATTCATTCATTCACTCACTCACTCACTCACCCACTCCTCTCTCACAGACTTTTGCTCAGACTGATACAGGAGCCTCTCTCCCTGGCAATGCAAAGTTGACTATGAGAAGCAGGATGCAGAACAGCGCAGGAATCAAAAAACGACAACTCTGATTACAAAATACTGACAGTCAAAATACTTCGGAAAGAAATGCTTGCAAGCTCTATCACAAAGAACAAGGCCAAAAGTTCAGGGAGACTGTGTATAAACACAGTTTATCTGGCCTAACCTTTGACTCAAAGTGGATTTTAAATGGTAGCACATCTTTGGGTAAAAAAAATTCAGCGTCGCCACATTTCAGGCACAGCAGGACTGGATGCTTTCCAAAGCTTCAAACACAAAGTCCAGCATCTAATGTGTCCCTGTCAGTCACCTTATGAGGCAGGCAGGACACTCCCTTTTTAACAGCTAATATAGGTAAAAAGTTAAGAGCTGCCCACGGTCTAAGAGTGAAGATGAGAAATACCTATTTTTAAAACCAGATTTAATTACTCCTATACTCTCTGTAGTAGACAATGAGTCACCTAATACCTTGGAAATTATCTCAACTGTAAGAGCTGCATTCATGGCAAGTATCACCCAATAGCCTTGCCTCTAGTTTGGAACATCAGGAGTCTCAAAAGAGATGAAATCTAAGTAAATAAATATTTTTTATATGATGTCTATTCCTGCTGTTCTAAACAAGCTAATACAAGGCCAAGCGCATAATGAACACAGTGAACTTAGTACAAAAATCCCAAAGTAACTTCACTGAGAACTACATCTTTCTTATGGGCCCTGAAAACCTCAGTGACAGGCATCATATCAGCAAATGTAAAAGTAAAACTAGATAAACTTACCATTTGGGTGCCAGATTTCTGTAATGAATTTCATTTTAGGAGGCCGGAGGGGATAATCTTTTGGGAAAGTGAGATGAGCCTTAAAAACACCACCTTCACTGGAAGAAAAACAAAAACATGTTCTTGCCTGTAAATTCCTGCATATTGACAATTATTAAAACAAACACAAAGCAAGGGTGCTAGTGCTCACACCATAAATGAGGTGAATTAACAGCCTGGGTCTCAAGCAGATCGTTCACATACTCACTTTAACAGACTGGCAACACCTACGACCTTACGGAACCCCCGCCAGGTAGGAAATGAAAGAAACGGCCGGCCTTAAACCGGCATCCGTATCAGGTCACGTGACTGTTGTGCCAACAACCTGTATCCCTTCCCATGGCGCTAACTGCCCGTCAGCTCTCCATGTGGCTCTCCGACTATCACCCTTCCCTCCATCCCAGCCCGTCTTCTTTCTGTTCTGCAAGCACAATAAGCTCTTTCTCACTCAGAACTTACACATAATTTGTTTGCTCCCTGTGTGGAAAGATGTGCTGACCTTCCAATCGTCCATTCATCTCATCATTTAGCAAATACTTCTTCAGCCTTTACATGCCAGACGCTGGCAGTGAACAAGGTATAAAGTCTCTCCAGGAGTTTACATTCCAGCGACTTTCCAAAGCAGTGCCGTCCAATACAGCTTTCTGCACACTGGAGATGTTCTACAGGCAGACTGTCCAAGATGGTAGCCACTAGGCCCCTGAAATATGGCTGGTGCAACTGAGGAACTGAGTTTTTAATTCTTTTTTTTAAAGATTTATTTATTTATTTGAGAGAGCAAGCACGCAAGGGGAGGGGCAGGGTAGAGGGAGGGAGACATTCTCAAGCAGACTCCCCACTGAGCACAGAGCCCGACGTGGGTCTCGATCTCATGACCCTGAGATCATGACCTGAGTCTAAACCAAGAGCCAGTCACTCAATGGACTGCGCCACCCAGGTGCCCCTGAATTTTTAATTTTATTTAATTTAATAGCACATATGGCCAGTAACTGCTGTATTAGTGCAGTCTTAGATCAGTGCCATTTACTTAGAAACTGTTCTTGAAGAACTGTCAAAACAGTACAATGAATTGTACTATGTTAACAACAAAAACCAATGAGATCAAGTCAGCCTCATGGGGCATATAACTAAGTTCATGCATTAGGTCGTTAGTACTAGTCATTTCCTGTGCTTGAAATACCCTTCTCCCCTTGTCATCTTTTAGAACTCAGCTTTGGGGCGCCTGGGTGGCTCAGTCGGTGAAGCGTCTGCCTTTGGACCAGGTCATGATCTCGGGGTCCTGGGGTTGAGCCCTGCATCGGGCTCCCTGCTCAGCGGGGAGTCTGCTTCTCCCTCTCCCGCTGCCCCTCCCCTGCTCATGCTCACTC